ACAATGTTGGGTTTTATTTCTCCAGAGTAAAGTCAACTTCATTCATTCATTTTTCCTGTGTCAGGCTCATTCTAGGCACTGGGGACAAAGGAGAGAACAAAATAGACGAACGTCTTTCTCTCACGAAGTTCATTCTAGGGAGGGAGGCGGACAATAAATGTGATAAGTAAATAAAATAGATAGGATGTTGGCGAGTGATACGTGCTAAGGACAGGAATGATGCAGAGACGGGACAGGAAGTTTTGGATGGGCACTGTCACTTTAGTTATGGTGGCTGAGCAGGCTTTCGTGAGAGGGTGACATTTTGCATAGACCAGAAGTGAGCACACGGCTTACTGAGGAGAAAGCTTCAGAGGAAGACGGAGGAGCCAGTGCAAAGGCCTGAGCTGGACACGCACCTGGGACGTTCCGCGAGCAGCAGACAAGGCACGTGGCTGGGCCGCAGGGGGCAGAAAGGAGGAGCACAGGCAGGTGGAGGAGGTAACGGCGGGCAGCACTAGCAGGACTTCCAGTCAGGTCGCCCAAGGCTCTGGGCTGATACTTTCAGGGAGTTAAGGAGCCACTGGGATGACATGTCCTGTGTTACATTTGAACAAGTGCTCTGCTGAGAACAGACCATGGGGTGGGTGTTGGGAGGAGGAAGGAGGGAACTGGGGAGACATTTAAGAGACTACTGTGAAAACGTAGGTGACAGTCAATGTCGGTAACAGTGAAAGGGTCATGAGTCCTTGGATTCTGGACTCAATTAGAAGTCAGAATCCAAGGATATGCTGCGATATTGTATATGTCACCACCCCTTTGCCACAGGGCCGCCTGGGCTCCCTGTTGGCAGGAGGCGTGTCGGGTGGCATCCTCACGGGGGCTTTGCAGGAGCTGAGCTCCGCTCGGTCCCTGCCTTGTCTGCCCTTGTGTTTAGTGGTTAGATTACCTCTGAAGGTGGCACAGGGCAAAGGGGTGATGATTTCTATGACAGACGTTAGAAGTCAGAATCCACAGGATATGCTGACATATTGACTGTGCATGCGAGAGAAAGAAAGGGGTAATGACGTGACAAAAAAATTTTTTTTTAAACTTTGGATACCGAATGCTGTATTTCACCTAATATACTGGATTTAAAAAAGGGCAATGTTAGTATTTCTTTGTGACTTTTCTTTCTACTGCTATGTGATATTAAACACGTTGTCTTCTATTTCTATGTTTGCATGTATCAAATACAAGTCTGAGCCAGCATAATAGGGTGAGCGACCCTCTGCTGTCTCCCCTGGATGAGAAATATACAGCGTGGGGCAAGGGTAGGTTTACAGGGGTGAGTACTGAAACACAGAATTCATTCTTGTATTAGTATTCATCAGCTATTGTATTATTTTCCATGATTTGAGGAAACCAGTAAGTAAATATATGTGAGAAGAGAGAATTCAGATTTTTTAAAGTATTTTATTCCATGCTCTGAAGGCTATGTGAAAATTCAAAATTAAAGCGCAGTATTTTATATCAGAGGTATTATTATGAAATGAATTGTGTTCCTTAAAATTCACATGTTGAAGCCCATGCACCCAATGTGACTGTATGTGGAGGTGGGACCTTCATGAAGGTAATTAAGGTTAAATGAGGTCATAAGGATGGGGCCCTAAACCGACAGAGCTGGTCTCCTACTAAAAGAGAGAGAGACACACACACCAGAGCCCTGGTCATTTTGGCTCCATGGTTAGAGCATTGGCTTTTGGACCAAAGAGTCATGGGTTTGATTCCGGTCAAGGGCATGTACCTTGGTTGCAGATCAATCCCTGACCCTGGTCGGGATCATGCAGGAGGCAACCAATCAATGTGTCCCTCTCACATCAATGTCTCTCTCTCTCTCTCTCTCTCTCTCTCTCCTTCTCTGCCTCCCTCCCTCCCTCCCACTCTATCTAATAATAATAAAAAAAAATCAATGCGAAAGTATTCTCAGGTGAGGATTAAAAAGAAAGAGACAGCACCGCTGGCTCTCCCTCGCTGTGCACATGGACCGGGAAAGCGCACTGGAGGACACAGCAAGAAGCCTGCAGGCCAGGAGGGGACCTGCTGCGAGGAACTCAGTCATCTGGCCTTTGGATCTGGGACTCCTCATTCTCCAGACTATGAGAACCTGTATTTCTGTTGTGTAAGCCTCTCGGCCTGATATGCGACCAGGGCAGCTGAGCTGATTCGCACAGGTGGTCCTCTTCTATCTGCAAAGCAGTGGAAGGGATGTAGATTCGGAATGTGCTTTCTTTCAGGGACTTCGTCTTTTCATATGTTTCAGTCCTTCACTAACTTCGGGAATTTCATCTCCATTAGTAACAAACTGTGTTAATACACTTCACCGGTTTTGATTTAGGGACTCTGCAAAAGGGTCTCTGCATTAGCATTTCTAAGGCACCCCAGACGATCCTGACCCTGCCTTGAAAATCGCTGAGATCAAGTTATTTCCACAGCCCTGGCCAGTTTAGCTCAGCGGTTAGAGCGTCGGCCTACGGTCCAGAGAGACCCGGGTTCGGTTCCCACTAAGGGCACGTACCTCGGTTGCAGTTTGTCCCCGGCCCTGGTTGGGTTGTGAGGGTGGCAGCCACTCGATGTGTCCTTTTCACGTCGATGTTTCTCTTCCTCTCTCTCCCTCCCACTCTATCTGAACAAAAAATGAGAAAAATGTCCTCGGGTGAGGATTAAAAAAAAAGTTATTTCCACATACCTCTTCTTTTTTTTTTAATCCTCACCCGAGGACATTTTTTTCCATTTGTCTTCAGATAGAGTGGGGGGGGGGGGGAAAGAGAGAGAGAGAAAGAAAGAAAGAGAAACATGGACATGAGAGAGACACTTCGATTGGCTGCCTCCCACATGACCCAACCAGAGCCGGGGACAAACCACAACTGAGGTACATGCCCCTGATCAGAATCGAACCCGAGACACTTCGGTCCACTGGCCAAAACTCTAACCGCTAAGCAAACCAGCCAGGGCCACATACCTCTTCTAAATCTCGTGCAGAGTGCACCAACCACATGTCCTTCACTCAAACACAAGTATTCCCAGAGACTGCCAACAGAGTTCCTAGCAACTTTATAAAAAAAAATTTGCAAAAGGTCAAAGTTACTCAGAATCCAGACAGGACGAAGGTAAGGCCCAGAAAGCTTAGTGTGTTTACCCTTTTCATCACCTGTGACTGGTGCACAGTTTGTGCCAACACTGCCACCTCCTATTTGTAGAACAGCCCAGTTACGTCTCTGTAAGTTCCCAGGTCTGAAGCATGAAGAGGGACTTGGGTGGGGCAGATCCCTGGTGTCCCTTCTCTAGTCCTGTAAAGGGCGTGACTCCCTGTGCACGCCTCATCACAGCAGTGCAGTGCCGAGTCAAGCGGGGGGTGGGGGGGAGCTTTGAGAACCGACAGGGCAGCTAGGAATAGATGCAGAGGCAGAAGAAGTAGTCCAACTGCCAAATGGGGCTTGTGTCTGCTCCTGGGCTGGTTCCCGGCCACGGGTCCAGGCCCCACCTTCTGCCTATTTCTGCTCAGTGCCTGGTTACCCTCTCCTGCCTCCTTAATTCTGATACAAGCATCCACGTGGTGGTGACTCAGATGCCTCTTATGTAGAACTCCGAAGGACACAAGGACCGAGTGAAGGGACCTAGCCCCAAAACAGGGGTCTTGTTGACACAAATTCTAAGAGGATCTGCTACAAAACATCACCATGGCCCTGACAGTTGGAAGCAGCCCGATGCAAACTCGGCCTCCTTGGAATATTTTCATGATCCACGATGTGTCCAAGGAGAGTAGGGGAACAGAGAGAAGCCAGGCTTCATCTGTTCTGAGTGAGAACAATATGCTTTTGAAAAGCAGTCTTGCCCGGCCAGTGTGGCTCAGTGGATGGAGAGTGGTCCCATGGACTGAGAGGTCCGGGTTCGATTCCCAGTCAGGGCACATGCCCGGGTTTCAGGCTCGATCGCAGTGGGAGGCATGCAGGAGGCTGCTGATCCATGTTCCTTCCTCACTTAGATGTTTCTCTCTCTCTCTCCCTTCCTCTCTCTTTAAAAGAAAAAAAAGGTCAATAAAAATATATTAAAAAGCAGTCTGATATTTTGTAAAGTTAGTGATTTGTTAAGTGTTACATAAACACCATCTTCCATGTAGATGTTTCCTTACTATCAAAATTTAAATGCTCCTAGATAAGAGACAATAAGCTAGAAATTAATGCCTTATCATTTAAAAAAATTCATTTATGAAAAGGCAGGAATTATAGTGTATACACTAACTCACTTTCCTGAAAACAAACAAACAAACAAACATTAGCAGTTTTTAAGTCTGTCCTCCGTGCCTCAATAAAATAGGCAATTGCATTCCTAACACAGGTATTTCTGCTAATACTTGAGATCAAGTTTCTCTCTCTTGGAGAAAAGGAAGTAGAAAGACAGTAAAAATCTGGCCACATCTGGATAAGCTCTGGGGCCTTAATCCTGGACTTAAGGAAGCTCTTGGCCTCCAGCAGGCATCGTGCATCCCCCGAGCTGTCCCTCCCCTGTGCACTGTCCTGCTGCTCTGCAGGTCCACACTGAACAATGTCATTAAACCTGCCCTCCTTCACACAAAAATGAAATCTACATTCAGCCTGCATCTTTTCCCAAAGCGGGTTTTCAGAGCAGGGAAGTGGTTACTTTGGGCAATAATCCTCCAGGAATTTTCTGGGCATCTCATGAAGGGTTAATCAGGGCAGAATGCACCAGTGACGGGCACTCCTGTTCCACCAGGAGAGGCAGTGGACACAGGAGCCCGCGGTGCGCAGAAGGTGTTTCTGCAGGGTGCTCGGCTTTGCACAGCTCCTGCAAACACCAGTTCAGAGGATGAGACACACTTCTGGTACTCCAGCTCCAGCGCTGATTTCTCATTTAGCTCTTGAATGAGATTTCAAACCCCACAGAGGTGTTGGTGATTCAGACATCTGGCAACGATGATCATTTCCAATTTAATTTGTGCAATGAGCTGGCTGAGCTCCTACCTTTTGTCCCTGCACATCTGTCGTGATGTGGTCGGCTTCACCATCCTCGATCTCCCCCATCTTCACGATGCTGACTTCTATGGTGCCGACGACTTTGCCACCATCTGAAGTTCTGCAACCAAAAATAAATGACATAGAGAAGTAAGCATCTTCTCTCTCCCTACATTAGTTCCCCTTTACCTGCGGTTTCAGTTACCCACTATCAACTGTGGTCCCAAAATATTAAATAGGAAAATCCCAGAAATAAACAATTCATAAGTTTGAAAAATGCATGCTGTTCTGAGTAGCATGATGAAACTTCGCTGATCCCCGCTCCATCCAGGATAAGAACCATCCCTCTGTCCAGCATGCCATGCCATACATACAATACAATAAGACATTTTGAAAGAAAAAGACCATATTCACTTAACTTTTACTACAGTATATTGTTATAATTGTTCTATTTAATAGCAGTGTTGTTCATCTCCTACTGTACCTAATTTATAAATTAAGCACTATCACAGGTGTGTAGGTATAGGAAAAAACAAAGTATATAGAGGGTGTGGTACCATGTGCAGTTTCAGGCATACACTGAAGTGTATCCCCCATGGATAAGGAAGGACGATACTATGTCCAAACATGTCTGTTTCTGAAAACCACTAACACTGCTATTTACTTCATTGGTTTTAATTAATTAAACAAATCCACTTAAAACATATCAGAGCATGGTAATGTTGATGTTGTTTTTAATTTCAAAAGAAAATGAACCATACATTTGCGAGACAAATGCATGGATTTTCCAAAACAACTTCATGAAGGTAAAAGCCCCTCTGGGCTGGCAGGAGGCCTCCGGGGTGGGGGCTGAGGTCCTGCTTGGCAGCCGCCACAACCCTGCAGCAGCATGAACCACAGCCCCTGCAAAGCAGCCGCACGGATGCTGCACACATGTTACAGAAAATACTGAACGAAACAGAACGGGAAGAAACACCCCTACGTTCCTCTATGACGGGGCCATTGGCTATGAAATTTTATTTTGTATCTTTTCCCTAACATCGTTTTTCTTTCTAAGAGACTAAGTAAGGAATATTCTCTATCCTAGCAACACGGGAAAATGCAAAGCAGAAATTAATCACAGAGCCTCTTCAGAATAACCCGTTACTTTTTCAGATTAAAAACCTGAGACTCAAAAAGATGGAAAGACTTGGCCAAGGCAACAAAGTAGCAAGACCGAAACCCCAGGTCTCTGTCTTTTGCAAGTCTGTTGGTCCCTGAATAACGCTTCTCGATCTAATGATGATGACTGTTTTATTATTAAGATTTTCATCATCATTATTGTCTTCCACACACACACTTTATGGTTGATAATAATGGAAGTTGGAAATAAAATGAACAGCCACCATCATTTAGGATTCCCTCATTTCTCTTTCTGGACAAGAAAATACAGAGTAAATGATGCCACCATACCACAGAAATGCTGTCACATATAATAGACATTCCTCTCTTTAACCTCTCAAAAAAATAGGTAGCAAGTCACCACATAGCTGTGACACATCGTTGTAACTTTTGTCCAAGACTAATTGACAAATAGTAGTCACATGACACTGTTTTTTTTTTTATTTAGTCATATTCTTTTCTGAATTTTGTTTTTAACTTTAATCTAGATTCCAATATTCTCTTTCTTTCAACCAATTTCTTCTAAATGTCACTATTTTATTGTTAGAGGTGTCAGAAAAGAGGAATGGAAAAATTAGTATAAGTAGTTTACCAAAATGCTAATTAAAATAATGACTAAGTTAAGTAACAGTTATGTTACTAGATCATGAATTATGCTTTCAAGAAAACTGAAATAGAAAATTCTGGCTAATGTTATAATGTAATAAAATAAAGATTATGTACATAAAAAGTAATTTACTTGTTAAATAGCATATTAAAGATTTCTTACTAAAATATAAAATGCTTCTTGGTAATTTTTAAATCAGTGTAAATCATAACATTGACTCAATTATTTGAAATTAATATAGAAAACTTAATCATTCATCCCAAAGAAGATGTGTACCTAGATGACAGTATAATCTGTGATTTTGTGGAAAAACTCTATTAGCTTCAATTCTGGGTGGTTATAAATAATTCATTATACCATTTCCCAGTTGAGAATGACATAATAACTTGTCATCAGTTATGATGTGACATAGTTCTGTACAATTTTTCAGTACCAGTTAGTTCAACAGTTTATTAATAAGAACTTTTATTGGCACTAACCATAATTTTTTTCTAAGAGATTTGTAGACTTTTTTTCCCCTAAACTCATTGTTAATAACGATGAAACCTGCCTGTTTTTTCTCATCAGAACTGTTGAAAATGTTTTGCTTGAACAAACTGAGGCAGCTTCATGCAAAGCCTATATACAATATTTTCCTTGCGCTAAACCAAATAATGCACAGAATGATTTGATTCAAACAGAAGGGGGACTTTCACAGCCTGTCCCGGGCTGGGTAACAAATCAACAGATGCCATGACGGTTGGAAGTGTGAACTCAGGAATATGAGTTACCCACTAGCGGCACGGCCATGGGCACGGACCTGAGCTACATGCACCTTCCTTTGTGCAATGGGGATGGTGATGACTTTGTTGTGAGGATTACTGTAAGTGACATGGTTTGTGTAAAGTGCTCAGCACAAGGCACTATGCAAGATAAATGCCTCTTCCTTCTCCCCACTTCTTCGTCCTAGCAGTAGAAGTAGCAGCAGCAACAGAATTATTATTGCCATTAATGTATTATGTTATATTTAATTTGATTCTCTCCAGAAATATTTTACTAAAATGGGCCCCAAAGATTATAGAAAAAGATTATAGAATCTGACGCCATATATATATTTCAACAGTGATTAAGTACTCACGAGAGATAGAAAGCCTTAGTAATAAAATATGATGTTATAAAGCGCACATTCCTAATAGGAAAGAGCACGAGTTTATAAATAATTGCAGCCACAGCAAGCATCTCCGAGTGCCAAAGCAGATGACTGAGCAACCAGAGTTCTAGCTGGTCCCTTTAAAAAAGTATCCGGCTACATTCTCAGTCACGTTTATGCCTTGGAGTTTCCCACTTCTCTTTGGCTCCTAAGGCTTACACGTATTCCCAGAGCAAACTATAAGCAAGGAGCTTGCTTAATCTGATGATGCCAGAGGGAGTCTAGAATCAGTATTTTCCCCAAAAAACATTTTGGATAGGGCACTCTAAGTATCCTGAAGCCCACCTCTTCGTCTGAGATTTGTGGGAGACAGAGTGGGGAATCTAGGTTTATAAACTAAAGAGACCCAAAGCACGGTGACACCCTGCCAGTGAACTCGTACTTACAAAATGTAGAGTGGTGTCTTATTTATTCTATATCAATTTACCACACCAGAGTACAGACATTCAACACTTCTCTCCAATCGGGAGAGTCACAATAGAAAGGTTGTTTCAAAGATCAGTCAGTGGAAATTTAGGAAAAAATGCATTCTTAGACTCTTAATTATCCTTTCAACCCATCAGGTTGGGGAGACTAGTAATAATTGCTTAACTGTTAGTCATCACAAAAATTCTACTGAGTTTTATGCAATGGGGATTCATCACATCCAATAGGAAAGACATACTGAAGAGAATTCTGGACTTAGAATCAAGAAACCAAGCACTTCTTCCCGCTCAGCTGCTAACTAGCTATGTGACGAAGGACATATCCCTTTAATTCTCTAGATTTCAGTTTCCTTTCCTGAAAAGAAAAGAGTCGGTTTCTAACAGCTATGGTATAATACCAGCAGTCAAACCCTGCACCAATCACTCCTATGACTCCATAATGTGATTCGATCATAGGTACCCCAGGCCATCATCATAGGTTGTTGCAACCTTGGGGAAAATCTCAGACATGTTCTAACCTCTCATGCTCACCCCCACCTTCCTGTCCAACCTTCCCCCAAAATAAACAAAATGCATGCTAAACCTGAGAAGAAGCTCAAACTTATAGTCCAATAAAAGAATAAGCTCGATTTGCAAAATATATATATTTTGCTGGCATTGTGGCATTGCATCTTGGAATTTTTACAAGGATAAAAAGGTGACTGAACCCTTCTCTAAAAACATATATGGCAATGAGAACAGGCTGTAGTAATAAACAACTACCTCAATCTATGTGGGAAACAAAACAAAAAACTATGCCATTTCAAACTGTCTATTGTCAGGCCGTTGCCACTAGTTAAGGCAGAGCGCTCTCGGAGAAATTAAAGATGGATACTTCGTGGCCGCTTTAGTATTTCGATCACAACATCGAGTTCCTATTTCTTTTAGCAGATACACTTAAATATTTAACCATGCCAGCAAGATGAAAGACAAGAGGAGGACGATTTCAGCAACACACATCTATACTCCCTGCTCACTTAGATGTTCAGCATGCATAATACATTAGTGATTAAAGTTCTTTAAAATCTGCCTTTAAAATAACTCCCCTGGTGCTTCCTAATGACGCTTGCAATTTCCTATGCTGAGACATACAAACATTCTTAGAAGACTGAAGAAAAGAGGATGGGGACGGTCTTCTAACAAAGGACAATTTAATGATGTTCTTCCTCTGAACTTCTTTACCACCTACTATATGGTTCTTAGTAGAAAAGAACAAGCAAACAAACAAAAAACACAAACTGGCCCGGCCAGTGTGGCTCAGTGGTTGAGTGTCGACCCATGCACCAAGAGGTCACCAGCTCGATTCTCGGTCAGGACACATGCCCAGTTTGTGGTCCCGATCCCCAGTGGGGGGCATGCAGGAGGCAGCCAATCAATGTTCTATCTCATCCTCATCGATGTTTCTCTCTCTCTCTCCCTCTCCCTCCCTCTCTCTCTCTCTCTCTAACATCAATAAAGGGGAAAAAAAATGTTTTCAAAACCCACAAACCGACCACTGGAAATGTTGAACAGTAACATGTAAACAACTCCCCTACTTTGGAAATGCCACAGAGATACAAACCAAATGGCACTAAATACCCAGGGAAAACCCATCATCAGCACTGTCAGTCTTTGTGAATAGAAAGCAAGCCTGGCGCTGGTCACCGGGATCTTCAGCTGCAGACACGCTTTGCATTCTAACCACCCAGAATGTAACTGGG